AAGGGAAGGGTGTGAGGCAGCTCCATGGGTCAGGCAGAAGGGTGATGAACTGTCTTTCCACTGAGCAGCTTCACTGTAGATTTACTGTATAAATAAGGGACTGACAGAGTCACCTACCTGATCACAGAAATCAGCACACAGAAGCTACAGGCCCTGTGAGTCCACGCTGTCTGCAGTCCTAGCGAAGGCCGTAAGAACAGGGTCAGTCCGGTGCCCTGGGGAGATGAACTAGAAAGATAACATGACAATTTGTCAAGAACGGTATCGTTTTCAGAGCATTTCACATAGAAAAGCCACGTGAGGCACTTCTGTTACTCACCTTTCACGTGTGAACAGGAGGCATGTAGTTTGTAAAAACTGTCTTCCTTCTTTTCTTAGTAGAACTAGGAATTGAACTCAGGGCTTCATGCTTGCAAGGCAGATGCTTTACCAATTTAGTCATGCCTCCAGCAGCTTTTTGCACTGGTTATTTTCAAGGTAAGAGCTTGCTTTATGCCTGGCCAGACTGGCCTGAGATCCTCCTACTTGTGATTCCCTGATTCCCAGTGTTCTATAGCTGGCAGGTTATACACTACCTTGCCCAGCCATTGTGTTTCCCCTGTAGCTGGGATGACAGGTGTGCAACACCTTGCTCAGCCACTGGTTGAGATGAAGTCTTGTAATTTTTTTTTTTGTCAGTTGTGGGGCTTGAACTCTGGGCCTGGGCGCTGTCCCTGCGCTCTTCAGCTCAAGGCGAGTGTTCTACTGCCTGAGCCACAGTGCCACTTCTGGTTTTCTAGTGGTTTACTGGAGACAAAAGTCTCATGGAGCTTCCTGCCCCAGCTGGCTTTGAACTGTGATCTCAGCCTCCTGAGTAGCTGGGATTACAGGCATGAGCCACCGGCGCCCAGCAAGTCTTGCAATGTTTATGCCTGGGCCAGCTTCAAACCACCATCCCCCCAATCTTTGCCTCCCAAGTACCTAGGATTACAGGCTTGAGCCATTGGAATAATTGACAAAAGGTGACATTTTTATTCGTAGCCCCAAATATTTTGTGTTTAGTTCCCTTGTCCACTCTGATATATCAGCAAATCTGCACTGCAGTTCTGTGTCTATATACACAATTCTAGCTATTAAATTGCCATCTCAGCTTTTCCTGTAGCAATGACAATCTACACCAGAGCCTGCAGTATTTGAAGGCAGTAACCAATCATGAGTTCTATAGAGCAGCCTTCGATATAATTCTACAATAAGATTATTTTGGTTTGGTTTTTTTTCCTCTTAAAGATCACCTATAAATTAACAAGCGGTTAAAATAAATCATTTCACCATGTGACAAGTAGTAATTCTTTTATTTGATGAAGGAAAGTTAAATTACAACTGGCGAGACGTCCACTGTATGCATCTGTCATTCAGAATCTGTGGCACAGATTGGCGATCGTGGCTCCCGACCTGAGGTCTGGAAAGAAAGCTCCGAAGTGTGGCATGGCCTAGCTCTGTGGCAGAAAGGGCTGGCTTCATGTGCTTTCTGGTGTGAGGCTATCTGCTCTAGATTTGATAAGCACTGGGGACACATGGGTTTGATTTGCAAAGTGCTTTAAAGCAACTTTGGTTGTTAAGTTCAATTACAAACACCATAACAGTATCATGACTTAAAAACATGAACTTGTACATTCTATCTTAGCAGTGAGCCTGAAACTTTAAAAAAAAAAAAAAAAATTGAGCCGGGCGCCGGTGGCTCACTCCTGTAATCCTAGCTACTCAGGAGGCTGAGATCTGAGGATCATGGTTCAAAGCCAGCCCGGGCAGGAAAGTCCGTAAGACTCTTATCTCCAATTAACCACTAGAAAACCAGAAGTGGTGCTGTGGCTCAAGCAGTAGAGCGCTCGCCTTGAGCTGAAGAGCGCAGGGACAGCGCCCAAGCCCAAAGTTCAAGCTCTGCGACTGAAAAAAAAAAAAATCAAGTACTGTTTGCAGGAAAAAATAAAATCTTAATTCTTTTAGTCTAAAGACAAAACTGTTGACTAGATTATAAATTTACCCATCATCATGAAACATGAAATTTATTTGATATGAGTGAAGCCAAAGGAAAACTCATCCCAGTGAGAACTACTCTTAACAGTGAACAGAAGAGTCAAGAGCCAGACATGTGGTGCATGCTCTAGTACCAGCTATCAGGGAGTCTGAAGCAGGAGGTTCACTTGAGTCCAGGAGTTTGTGACTGGTCTGGCAAACAGGGTGAGAGGAAAGCCACATTTCTGAACTATTTTTTTTTTCTGACAGGAATAAGAGCTATTTCAATAATTAAATTCTTTTATTTTCTCTCTATAAAATTAGTATTGTATATATTATCACAAATACTATGACTACTATGACATCATGCTCATATCCAGGCCTACTGCGTTCAGAACAGCAACGCGGATTTAAGTACTCTGGAAGAACACTATCACTCATCAGCCACGCTGATCACAATGCAACTCTTACCCTCAGAAAACATGAATCTGAACGAGGCCTGGGACACAAGCAGGTGCATTAAAATGCGAGAGCCAGAGAAGGGGTGACACTGTCCAAAAAGAAAAGTGCTCATCACCTGACTTAGGTAACTGTGACCCCTCTGTATACCACCTTTATAACGACAACTTAAAAAGACAAAAGAAAACCAAGTGGGAGAGTTTAACAACAACACACATCATTGGCAGCTGCCTGGGTGAAGTTAGGAGGTGGGGGAGGTTTAAATATTCAAATCTGTAAAGCCCCTAAGTCTTAAAATGCTTCTATTTATATAGTAGGAGCCGGAACTCAGGGAGATTGAGAATGGATTGGGGCCCAGAGAAAAAACATCCCAGACAAATTACTGACCCAAGTTTATGGAGGAATGCACCCAAATCTCTCTTCTGGGTGCTGAGCACAGTGATTTTTTTTTTCTAGCTTCCTTTCTATTCAGTGCTAGGCTTAAGGCCCTGTGATGAACCAAAATAGTAGAAGATGTGCATGTTCCAGTATGTCTGGAAGCAAGTTCATCCGGATCCTTTTTCTGGAATCTCCAAGGACTAGATCATCCTTTCAATGACTAGATCATCCTTTCAATGACTAGATCATCCTTTCAATGACTAGATCATCCTTTTGAGCTGCTCGGGAGAAGCCAGGCACCCGGGGCTCACGCTTGCAATCCTAGCTACTCAGGAGGCTGAAATCTAAGGATTTCGGTTTGAAGCCAGCCGGGGTAGGAACGTGGGAGGCATACTGGAAATGAAGCCGTGGTTCAAGTGGTAGAGCACCAGTCTTGAGCAAAAAAGCTAAGGATTGGCACCCAGACCCCGAGTACAGTACCAGCATGTGCGCATGCACACCTCCCAACTTTCTCCCCACGATGCTGACTCTCTTCTGAAAACTAACTACAAAGTTCTTTCTATGCTTTGAATAGAGTAGTGCCTGCTTACTCAGCATTTAGTACTCTGAGAATGGGTTGTAGCTGTGGCAAAAGCAGCCAGAGACCTGAGGCTCCAGCAGGGATGATCCCCAGCCACAGGTGGCATGCTGAGAAATTGATAAGTGCCTGTTTCATTAAGAAACCTGAGCCTAGCCGGGCACTGGAGGCTCTCACTTGTAATCCTAGCTACTCAGGAGGCTGAGATCTGAGGATCCTGGTTCAAAGCCAGCCCAGGCAGGAACATCTGTGAGACTCTTATCTTCAATCAACCACCAGAAAACCAGAAGTGGCACTGTGGCTCAAGTGGTAGAGCTGAAGAGCTGAGGGACAGCGCCCAGACCTAGAGTTCAAGCCCCACAACCAGAAAAAAAAAAAAAGAAGAAGAAGAAGAAGAAACCTGTCCTGGTTTTGCTGATCTTAAAGCTGCGCAGGAGCTGAGGACAGTGCCGTTCTCTGGTGCAATAGCACATTCAGAGACAAGTCATAATGACGGCCAACAGACACTTCAGAAGCGCGCGGTGGGACACAGCGGCTTCCCAAGGTCCCGAATAGAAGCCAGCGCTGACACATTTGCTGCGCAAACAAGAGGGACTGTCAACTCAAAGGGGGACTTGGCTCACACCTGACGAACCCCTCAAACTTTTATTCTCATAAAAGTCACTAGAAAAATAACAGCCAGAAGTGGAACTGTAGCTCAAGAGATAGAGCATCAGCCGTGAGAGCAAAACCCTGAGTTCAAGCCCCAGTACTGGCACAAAGAGAAGGGGAAAGGAGAGGAGAAGAGGGGAGGGGGCGGAGGAGAGGGAGGAAGAGGAGGGGGAGGGGAGGAGAAGAGGGGGAGGGAAGGAGGAGGGGGAGGAGGAACCACTATAGGATTTAGGGGAAATCTTGCCAATCATCTCAGCCAATCTGTGAGCAGAAAGAAAAATTCCCCAGGCACTTAATGATGCCTGCTTTCTAGAAAATGCTAACAAGAGACCTAAAACAAAACTTGACTTCTTGGGCTGAGAATATGGCTTAGAGTGCTTGCCTAGCATGCATGAAGCCCTGGGTTTGATTCCTCAGTACCACATACACAGAAAAGCCGGAAGTGGTACTGAGGCTCAAGTGGTAGATATTAGCCTTGAGTCAAAGCAGCTCAGGGACAGTGCCCAGGTCCTGAGTTCAAGCCCTAGTCCTGGCATAAACAAACAAACCCAAACAACAACAACAAGGGATTGAGAATGTGGCATAGTGGTAGAGTGCTTGTCTAGCATGCATGAAGCCCTGGGCTTGATTCCTTAGTATCACATACACAGAAAAAGCCAGAGTAGAGCTGTGGCTCAAGTGGTAGAGTATTAGCCTTGAGCCAAAGAAGCTCAGGGACAGTGCCCAGGCCCTGAGTTCAAGCCGCAGGACTGCAAACTAACAAACCCAACTTGACTTCTTAAAAAAAAAAAATCATCTCAGCCAAATGTTTTCTATCACCAATGAGAGCTAATTGGCGGAGGAATGAGCACATCTCAGCTATTCTAACGTCCAATCGGTGGCTATCTTACTATGTTATCTGACTTTGAAGAAGGCTCACTGACCAGATAATCAGAGAGGAGGTTCTGGTTCTAAGTACCTGGCTGCCCTTTACAGACGAGTTTCCTGTTGGGATGGAAAGGGCCTCAGAAAACATGTAACATGTACTGCGGGCAGGGGAGGGGCGGGGCGGTCAGCGCATCACTGGTGTAATGTCGCCGACAGAAAGTGCACAGGATAGAGCATTAACTGGCCATCTTCCCAAGAGTACAAACGCTGGTCCCTCATGTTGTAGGACAGCATGGCGAGAACAGACTGGGAAGTCCTTAGCGCGAAGTTTGCATTGATCTGTTTCCCTCCTAGCAAATCAAAGGCGAATGTAATCCTCATATCCTTGGTGTCAGTGACATAGAGGATGCCTTGGGCCACAAAAGCATTGCCGGCCTTGGATTTGGGGTAGGTGGTGTTGATGTGCTGGACCACCGAGAATGTCTTCTCTTCCAGCTGGGCAACAAGAATGTTTGAGCCGTCCACACTGGAAGCATAGATAATCCAGAGACCCTTCTCATCCACGGCTAGGTTGAAGTAAGTCTTGGAATTCGCAAAAAGGTACTTTCGATCAAAATACAAGGCATTTTCAAGCTTCAGAGTTTGGGATGTTTCCTTGCCAAATTCAAATCTGAATCATGTTAGGAAAGAAAGAAAAGTAGAGATGAGGTACTGTTTTGGTAGACAAAGATGGTTTGTTAGGCTACTTCATCTGAGTTAGTTAGATCTAGGGATCCCAGTGATAGTGTGCATTGCCAACAAGTTCCAAGTAATTCTTGTTCTGTTGGTCCTTAAACAACAACCACCACCACCACAAAACAAAACAAAACAACAAAACAAAACAAAAAAGTCAGTTAGCTACTCAGAAAAAGCCGTAAGTGGTGGTAAGGCTCACGTGGTAAGGCTCACGTGGTAGAGCACTACTTTTGAGTGAAAAAGCTCAGGGACAGTGCTCGGGCCCTGAGTTCAAGCCTCTGGGCCGACACCCAAAAAACAAAAATAACAAAAAACAACCTAAATCCAGGAATGACAATTCAGGTTGTTAGACTAAAAGGAACACTAGATGGAGCCATTGAGCAGCAAAGAAAGCATGCAATGTGGGAATCTATGCGGATTTCAGCGGACAAATCTGAAGTTACTAAGAAACCTTTTAAAAGCTTGAAGGGAAGCTGGAGAGGAGCCAGGGCCCTGTCCATCACAGCTCACAAGAGCCAGCTTCCTCCCAGAGCTTTCAGTTCAAAACTATCCCTGTTGCCTGTACCTGGCAGCTGCACTTCTTGAGAGGCTTGTCTTTCCCAGCCAGAGCAAGCTCTGAGTTCAGCCTGCCCCTCCTTCAGCAATCAGCATGGGCCTACCAAAGAGCAGCCCAGCTGAGCTTTACTAGAAGCAGCACTTTCTTTAAGAGGCCAACTCTCATTCTGGGGCTCCTTCACCCTAGAACTCCCCTACCGCCAGACCTATATATAAGATGGCAGCAGGGCCAGGTGCCAGTGGCTCACGCCTGTAATCCCAGTTACTTAGGAGGCTGAGATCTGAGGATTGTGGTTCAAAGCCAGCCTGGGCAGGAAAGTCTGTGAGACTCTTGTCTCCAAATAACCACCAGAAAAATGGAAGTGGTGCTGTGGTTCAAGTGGCACAGCACTTGCCTTGAGCTGAAGAGGTCAGGGACAGTGGCCAGCCCAGAGTTCAAGCCTCACAATGGACAAAAAAAAAAAAAAAAAAAAAGATGGCAGCAGGGAGCCATAGGTTACACAGGACTGTGACATGAGATGACGGCTGAGCAGGAGGTAGACCAGCTGTCCTCTACTACAGAGATGCTAAGTGTCAGAAGAGATACAGCTCGCACCTGAGATTCCTTTGGTGGATCTAACTACCTGTCATCCCAGTCTCTGAGCGTCCAAGTGCCCAAAAGACTGTGAAACCAGGATCTCAGTGAGGGTATGAGGAAGACAAGGGACACAGTCTCCCTCCAGGTCTTAGTCTTGAATGATTAAGACTACGGCAACCTTAATACTGGGAATATGTTTCACAAATGGGTGGAGCTCAAAGGGGGCAGAGGCTCCACTGAGAAAACAGAGGTCCTCAACTCTCTTTTTAACAAGCAAGTAGAAGAGCTGGAGTCAGATCCCCGGTGTCCTGATGCTCAGTCCACTGTCTCTTGATTTGCTCAAGATGATCCCCTTCTGCCTCTACAAAGCCCAGAGTTTTGTTTCTTCTTGGCCCATAAGGACAAAAACGTTATGGTTTTAATGGTGTTTAATTTTTGTGGGGCGGCAGACAGGCTGAAATGCTGACCTAGACACACCTGCACAGGTGGCCTTCTCCCTCCCCCGGGGAGGGCGGAGGTAAGAGGTGAGCTGGCCACAAGGAGGCTCCACCAGGATGACGGGCCGATCTGCATGCAGAGATACTGGGTTTGGGGTTGCAGTCCTAGTACTCAATGATTTTAGTTGTGGCATGAAACTCAAACCCACATATCTTCTAAAACTAATAACAAGAAGCATGGTGGTTTCTACTTGTAATCCCAGCACTTGGGAGGCTGAGAAAGAAGAATGAAAGTTCTAGACTGGGCTACACAGTGAGACCCTGTCTCAACCAACCAACCAACCAACCAACCAACCAACCAACCAACTAACCAAGGAAAGTGCTCATCCAGGCAGAGGAAGCTCTGGGTTCTGGCTACTTTCTAAAAAGACAAAATAGATGTGGCTTCCCCATGACCAGGACTGGGACACTGGACTCCCTCACGACCTCCTGTCAACAAACTGACTGACATGACTATGGGCCAGCTCTGGGGTTGTAAGATGGCAAAGACACCTAGGTGGCCCAGGCAGCCCCATGCAGCGGGAGCCATCTAAGACAGAAGGGCAGGGACTGTAGGCCCCAGGAAGGCACATGGTCCAGCTGGCTCACCTCACTATGGTGTTGGAGCCCGCTTTGTGGTAGTAGAGTGAGTTGTTGTGAACAGCATGCCCACAGCCGTGGAAGTAATGAGGGAGGTGGATGAGCGAGTAACTGCCATTCAGAAGAGCCGGCTCATCTTTGAACTCCTTTACCATGATGCCTGTGAGAGGAAGGCAGGGAGGGAAGGGCTGTTACTTGTCATGGACAATCCCATCTGGGCAGCGGGAAAGGTGAAGGGGGTGGGGGAAGCCGTTCCCTCTCTAAGGCCCTTTGTCCACTTTGAAGAGCCCGATATTCCCAGACACAAAGTCCAGACCACCCTATGGATTTATTTTTTATATTTTGGTTGCCATCGGGTGTGAACTCTGGGCCTGGGCACTGTTCCTCAGCTCTTCAGCTCAAGGCGAGCATTCTACTACTTGAGCCTCAGCACCACTTCTGGTTTTCTGGTAGTTTATTGGAGATAAGAGTTTCACAGACTTTCCTGCCCAGGCTGGCTTTGAACCGTGATCCTTAGATCTCAGCCTCCTGAGTAGCTAGGATTACAGCATGAGCCACTGGCACTTGGCTCATCCTATGGATTTTTTCAGACATTGTTATCATAGCCTTTGCTCCGCTGAGAGAATACATGCCCCACCCCTACCCCCGCTATTATTTATAGTCTTTTGAGTGACTATAAATAATAGAACATGCGTGCATGTTCTAGCACTAGGGCTTAAACTCAGGACTGCTCATTTCTCCCTTAGCTTTTATTGTTCAATACTGACACTCTACCACTTGAATGATACCTTCACCTTTAGCTTTTTGCTGTTAATTGGAAATAAGTCTCACAGATTTATCTGCCCAAGTTGACTTTGATCCTCAGATCGCAGCCTCTTGGGTAGCTAGGAGAGATTACATTGCTTTTTTTTTTTTTTTTGCCGATTGTGGGGCCTGAACTCTAGGCCTGGGTGCTGTCCCTCAGCTCTTCAGCTCAAGGCTAGCGCTCTACCACTTGAGCCACAGCGCCACTTCTGGCTTTTTCTGCTTAAAACCTGAGTAGCTTACAGCTACTCAGGAGGCTGAGATCTTTGTATTGAGGTTCAAAGGCAGCCCAGACAGAAAAGCCAATCAGATGCTTATCTCCAATTAATCAGCAAAAAATCAGAAGTAGAGGTATGGCTCAAGTGGTAGAGGACCAAACTTGAGCATAAAAGCCAAGGGGGAGGGGCCCAGACTCTGAGTTCAAGTCCCAGTACTGGCACTAATTAAAAAAAAAAAAAGAACAGCACATTGATACCAGTAATGGCAGAGATTAAAAACCCACAGACATAAGCCTGAGGTAGGCAACAGGGGAAAGATACTATCATAATTCAGTGCAGGTACCTGAAAAGTGTTCAGTTACCCAAATCCGGTCATCGCTCTTATTAGCAGACTCTCGGATCCAAGTGCCAAATGTCTCTTTCACTTTTAGAACCCGGGTTGGGTTGCCAATGGACGTGATCATAGATTCTGCCAAAAAAAAAAAAAAAGAAAGAAAAGTGCTTGCCTGCTAATCATGACCTAAGGCCCCCAGTTTCTGAATTTCAAAACAGGATCTTTTACTTATTTTGTGGAGTGAGGATGGGGCCCAGGCCTTCTATATGCCAGGCAAGTACAGTTCCATTGAGCTCCCCTCCCCTCCCCCCGGCACGCTGTGTTGGTACCTGCTTGCGGGGGCTGGTGGTCACTGACATTCTCATCGACTTTGCCCTCCAAGGTATCATCATTTGGTATGGCACATGTCTCACCTACAATGACAACAACAATTATAATAGAGCACTGTGAGATTACATAGCTTTGCATGTGTGTTTGTGTGTGCACACACACGTGCATGTTCTAGTACTAGGGCTTAAACTCAGGACCACTCATTTCTCCCTTAGCTTTTATTGCTCAATACTGACACTCTACCACTTGAGTGATACCTTCACCTTGGGATTGTTGCTGGTTAATTGGAAATAAGTCTCACAGATTTATCTGCCCAGGTTGACTCTGATCCTCAGATCGCAGCCTCCTGGGGAGCTAGGAGAGATTACATTGCTTTTTTTTTTTTTGCCGATTGTGGGGCCTGGACTCTAGGCCTGGGCGCTGTCCCTCAGCTCTCCAGCTCAAGGCTAGCACTCTACCACTTGAGTCACAGCGCCACTTCTGGCTTTTTCTGCTTATGTGGTGCTGAGGAATTGAACCCAATGCCTCATGTATACAAGGCAAGCGCTCTACCACTGAGCCACCTTCCCAGCGATTACATTGCTTTATAGCCATAATCCCCACCTCTTTTCAGATCAAGTCCCATGAACATCCCTTAGAATAGGTCCACCTGTTTCCTTGTTTGCTTTAAGAAATCCACAAGGTATGTTTTCAATTCCCCCTTTCCCCAATGTGGTGTTCCCAAGAAGTTTCCCATGACTGTAAGAGGAGATCAGTGTTTTACTTTATTTTGTGCTGCCACAGATAGGTTGGGCAGTTTATCATGGCTCTGGTCTGGAGTCTAGGAAGACACAGATGGAGGGACCACACCTGGAGAGAGCAGTGTGGCAGAAGTCTTTGTATGGTGGCAGAGAGTGGGAAGGGAGAAGTCACCCCTTACAAGGAATCCTCTCCTGTGACAGTGATGCTCACCCTCTGCGGATGGGGGAGGGCAGAGTGCTCATAACCTGGCCCTACTCAAAGGATCCCAGCTCTCAACACTGATGTGCTGGGGATAACATTTCCCCTACATGAACTTTGAGGGACACACTGGGACAGTAAAGGAGAAATGTGCCCCATACCAGCCCTCTCAGGCCCTCGGCAGTCTGAGGAGAGAGAGGCTTGGGACCCTTCCTGGTTGCTGCTCTGGTGGGTGGTACCCCTCTCAGAGTGGGTGGGGAGATGGGTGCTGGGATTGCGTGGGGAGTGGAATCACACAGTGTCAGAGGAGGAAGGAGCCCATCTCTATGCTGGCTGGTGGCTGGCTGAGGCATGTTTCTCGGAAGTCCTCTGACACCAAGGAGAGCAGGCTCTCCTCAGGATCTGTTACAGAGCCTGCTTGCGATTCTCCTGCCTCCCTTACATCTGGAATTTCCACTAAGGAAATTAAAGGGTGCTACAGAAAGAGAACTGGAGCAGGAGAGAGGCCAAGTTCAAAGGCCAAATATGGCAAGCAAGGACTCATTGAGGAGGCATTGTAGGAGATAATGGTCTCTCATTTAAAGCTGTTCAAATTCTGCAAGAGCTCCAAATGGACCCTCCCCTTTGGGGAAGGCCTCTGCTGAGCTCCTTGGAAGGAAGAAAAAGGTCTGATCCTGATGGACTGAGGCTGACACCCTGGGAAGGAATCAGGCTGCTACTCTGGCTAACTCTTGGGCAGAATCATTTATTAGGCTCCATTACTGAGCAGGGAGAGGATGGGTGGAGTGTTAGGCTTTGAACTTAGGGCTTTGTGATTGCTAGGCCAGCACTCAACTACTTAAGCCATGCCTCTACCTGCCCTAATTAACTTTTTTTTTAATTAATTATTTTGTCAGTCGTGGGGCCTGAACTCTGGATGCTGTCCCTCAGCTCTTCAGCTCAAGGCTAGGGCTCTACCACTTGAGCCACAGCGCCACTTCTGGCTTTTTCTGCTTATGTGATACTGATGAATCAAACCCAGAGCCTCATGCATGCAAGGCAAGCACTCTACCACTAAGCCACCTTCCCAGCCCTGCCCTAATTAACTTTCAGCCCCTAGCCACTGCTGCCTGCCTGGGTTTGAATTCCAGCACTGTCCTTTGCTAACTGAGTGACCCTGGCAAGTTATGTAGCTCCTAGGGAGTCTGTAAGTTGGAGATGAGGATGTTAATATCATAGGTTAGTTGTGAGACCAAAGGAATTATGCACTTAGTACCGGGCCTGCCATACTGTCAATACTCAACAATTAGTGGTGAAGATCCGGTGCTGGGGTTGTAGCTCAGTGGTAAAGCTCATGCTCAGCATGCATGAGGCCCTGGATTGGATCCCCATCCCCACAACCCTGGAGTTATTATTTGTGGGCTGTTAACCAATTTGATTGCCTGTAATCTCCGGGCACATCCATGAATTCATTGCTGTAAAATATTTACAACTTAATAGCAAGACTAGCGACGGCTGGAGATGGAAGAGGCTGGTGGGGAGGGGAAAATGAAGGCAGGAAGGAAGAAAAAGAGGAGGAGGAGGAAGCAAATTCTCCTTAGAGCAAAATCTCCTCCCTCTGTGTTTCTACACGTGAACCGAAGGCCTGAGGGATCAGTCAGTGCTAGAGGCAACTTCCTTGGGGCACAGCTTGCTGACCTGGACACTGGCCATTGAACACATTTGGCTGGCGAAGGCCTTTGGATCTTCCCCTTCCAGGAGGCCCTGGAGGCCCTGGGGGCCCAGGAGGTCCAGGTGGGCCGGGTGGGCCTTGGTCACCTTTGGCACCTGGAAAGATAAATGGAGAGAGAAACAGAGAGAGCCAAGTAAAGAGCTGACCACAGAGCTGAGTGCTGGTGGCTCACACCTGTAATTCTATTCAAAAGGCTGAGATCTGAGAATTCTGGTCTGAAGCCAGCCCGGGGTAGGAAACTCTGAGACTCTTATCTCCAATTAACCACCACCACCAAAAACCACACACACAAATGAATTGCGGCTCAAGTGATAGAGTGCTAGCCTTGAATAAAAGTGCCAAGCAAGACTTCAAGACCCTAAGTTCAAGGCCCAACACTGGCATGTGTGTATGCGCGCACACGCGTGTGCACACTGATTGGCCACCAAAGGCCAGTCAGGTGGAAGACACAGTGGAATGGATTGAAAGGCAGGCACATCTCTCCCTGGTCTGCCCTTGAAGGGAGCCTAGGCTGCCCTTACCTGCTGGCAGGACATCGTTGGACACGTCTCCTTTGTCTCCTTTCTCGCCCTTCTGCCCTGGTGGGCCCTCATTTCCAGGTGAGCCCAGCTCCCCAGGGTCTCCCTTCTCTCCCTTTTCCCCTGGATTTCCTGTGGCTCCTGGTAGCCCTGAGGAAAAAAATAACATATTAACCTATTGTGGAAACTTTACTTCATTGTACTTAGTACCTTTCGGGTACAGCAACTTTACAAACCAAACACATAATCCTTCATAACCATTTTAGTGTTACAACATGGCCATATATTCATTAAAAAATAGTATCTGAGCTGGGCACCAGTGGCTCATGCCTGTAATCCTAGCTACTCAGGAGGTTAAGATCTGAGGATCATGGTTTGAAGCAAGCTGGGACAAAAAGTCTCTGTGAGACTGTTATCTCCAATAAACTACTTAAAAAAAAAAACTGGAAGTGGTGCTGTGGCTCAAGTGGTAGAACACTAGCCTTTAGCACAAAGAGGGTCAGAGACAGTGCTCAGGCCCTGAGTTCAAGACCCAGGACTGGCAAAAAAAAAATTAGTATTTGAGTTCAAGTGTAGTTTCTCATTCCTCTAATCCTAGCTACCCAGGAGATTGAGGATCACAGTTCAAAGCCATCCTCCTTGGCAGAAAAGTCCTAAGACTGTTATCTCCTATTACCCACCAGAGAGCTGAAAGTGGAGGTATGGTTCAAGTGGCAGAGTGCTAGCCTTGAGCACAAAGGCCAAGTGAAATCTTGAGGCTCTGAGTTTAAGCTCCGGTATTGGTACAAACACACACAAGTCTTACTGAGATGCATGAAATTCAGCTGTATCTGGGATCCAGAAGGCCCAGGCCCTTCCTTCTGCCAGAGCTTAACTTGGACAATAAATACCATGTACTAACATGTAAGGAACTGGGGCAGGGGTTGGGGGGGGGGTGACAATTAAGAGGTGTCTGGGATCCCTCCACAGTGAGAACTAATCTGCCAGGGACTGTGCACTGCAGTAAGAAGTAACACAGTGACATATCCTGACTAGTGGCACTACACCCTTCCCAATGGCTTGGGGTCACCCTGCCCCTCCCCCCCCACGGGACCAACTGGCTGGAAAGTGGCTCACTCACTTGCCCTCTGCACGAGAAGATGCTCCCCTTTGTCGCTGTTTTAAAGGGACTGTTTGGCATTGTCTGGAGGAGATAAAAGACTAGATGGTTGCCATAGAGCTCAGCCTGCGCCATGTACCAAGCGCAACTGACACCTCTAAAGATTTCACATGGGCCAGATTTTGCAGAGCTCAGGGAAACTAGGTGCTGGCGACTGTGAGCTTTTCTTTTTCAGACACAAAGATCCTTGCTATTTTAGGATCTGATTCCCCCCCCCCCCACACACACCTCTTATGCCTTTTATTTTCTTTCTCAGAAAAGGCCAAGTGTGAAGCAGGAAAATGTTCCAATGTTCATATTGGACTGCAGCCCCTGTGGCTGCCTGAGGGGAGACTCTGTTCTCTAAGCTGGGAAAGAAAAGACCAGGGATTTTTTTTTTTTTTTTTTTTTTTTTTTGGTCAGTTGTGGGGCTTGAATTCTGGGCCTGGGCGCTGTCCCTGCGCTCTACATTTCAAGGCGAGCACTCTACTACTTGAGCCACAGCGCCACTTCCAGTTTTCTAGTGGTTTACTGGAGCTAAGAGTCTCACGAACTTTCCTGCCCGGGCTGGCTTTGAACCTTGATCCTCAGATCTCAGCCTCCTGAGTAGCTAGGATTACAGGTATGAGCCACTGGCGCCCGGCTTACCAGGGATGTTTTATCTGTGTGCAGTTTGCCTTTGTTCTCTGCTCCACCGTCACAGCTGAAAACAGTCTCCCCTTGTTCTTCTTGGTAAAATCACCTTGGCCATGCATTGGCTCGGAGTGTGTTAAAAATAAACCATCACTCAGGCCACGTGCCTGTGGCTCACGCCTGTAAGCCTAGCTACTTAGGAGGCTGAGATCTGAGGATCCTGGTTTGAAGCCAGCCTGGACAGGAAAGTCTGTGAGTCTCTCATCTCCAATTAACCAGCAGGAAGCCAGAAGTAGAACTGTGGCTTAAGTGGTAGAGTGCCAGCCTTGGGCAAAAAATCTAAGGGACAGCACCTAGGCCCTGAGTTTAAATCTTAGTACTAGAAAAACAACAACAACAAAAACAGCAAAGAAACAATCTACCACCCAATAGCCATTCACAATCAGAGAAGCTGTGCACAGTGACATGCTATGTGGTCTGAACCCTGGCACTGTTGTCCGTGACTCCTGGCTGGCTTTGAATCAGAGAAGAAAGGCCAGATTTTATTTTATTTTATTTTTGTCTGTCCTGGGGCTTGAGCTCAAAGCCTGGGTTCTGTGCCTGAGTTCTTTTGCTCAAGGCTAGCACTCTACCACTTTGAAGGACAGTTTTACTTCTGGTTTTTGAATCGTTAATTAGAGGTAAGAATCTCACAGGGACTTTTCTGTTTGGCCTGGCTTTGAACCTCAAACCTTACATCTCAGTCTCCCAAGTAGCTAGGATTACAGGCATGAGCCACTGGCAACTGGCCCCACTTAACTCTTGTGCTAGAGAAGTATTTCTTTGCTATTTTTCTCCTGATGTTGCCCACGCAAAACACACAGTACCACCAGCATTAGAGTTTAGAGTTGTGCAACAGCCTTGGGCTGGGGTCAGTTTCAGGATCTTCACAATAGGGGGTGAGGGAGGATGATTTATTTCGGACAGATACCATCTGTCAGTGACTAATGCAGAGGAATGGGACCAGAGAGGATCACATAAAACTCAGTTGTAAGACATGAATTGTGACAAGGGCATTATTTTTGTTGTTTCTAAAAAAATAAAGATAGGATTAAAAAAAAAAAAAGACATGGTAGCATTAACTCTTAAGTGAGAAATTGAGAGGCAGGTGGCAAGAAAGGAAATGCAGATTGCCAGGCTTCTTAGAAGATACTAGCTGAACACCTGATAGCATTTAAGGGTTTTTCACTCCAAAGATTTCTTACTCCTTCTGACTCCTCTTTTCCTTCCTTCCTTCCTTCCTTCCTTCCTTCCTTCCTTCCTTCCTTCCTTCCTTCCTTTCTTTCCTTCTTTCCTTTTTGTCGGTTTTGGGGCTTGAACTCTGGGACTGGGCACTGTCCCTGAGATCTTCAGCTCAAGGCAAGTGCTCTACCACTTGAGCCACAGTGCCACTTCTGGTTTTCTGGTGGTTAATTGGAGATAAGAGTTTCACGGACTCTTCTGGCTTTGAACTGTGATCCTCAGATCTCAACCTCCTGAGTAGCTAGGATTACAGGCCTGAGCCACCAGCGCCCTGCTGTGCGATTTAGAAGGCTGTCCTATTCTATCAGATGCCTGGCTCCCAGTCACAGGACTTGTTCCATCCTTCTGGAATGTTTTCTGGCTGGAAGGCCTTGAGCCCTCAGATCTCACCTGACTGCAGATACCCATCTCTAGGACCCCCTGCCATCTCCCCTGGATGGATGCTCAAAGCATCTCAGCTCTGCACATCCCATGGCTTACTTCCCTAACCCAACCCTGGAGTGGGGGTGTCTGCCTCAGGAGGAACTGAGCACTGTCCATCCAGCTGCAGGACAGAAGCCAGGAAGTCAGTATTGACTCTCCTGCCCCTCACTTCCTCTGCCCCCCCGCCCCCCCCCCCCCCCCCCCCCCCGCTGCTGGGACTGTCAACCTAAATTTCACTCAACTCCATCAGCCTTGCCACACCCCTCACACCATGGGGACCCCTCAGGGACTTCTGATGGCTCTCAGGACAGAGCTCTATCTCCTCTGTGTCCCTGCACCCCCTCTCAGGGCCTAGGAAGGAAGGAAGAAGAGCACAGCTCTGGGGTCTGTAGTAGGTGGACAGAGACAGTGCGACCTTTGTTCTGGGATCTGGGCTGGCTCAAGGCTGAGCAATGCTTCCAGAAACCTCTTCCTCTAGAGCCAGGGTCTTGTAGATAACCTTGGTCCTCTCTAGAAGGTTGTCTGTAAAGGCTTCATCCCCCACCACTTTCCCTGGCTGAGTCATGGACATCCAATCAATCCAACATCTTTAGCTAGGGTCGTAGGCATGACTGACATCAAGCCAAAGAAAAAATTTTTGTATGTGTGCTAGGGCTTGAAATCAGGGCCTCATTTTCTACCACTTTGAGCCATACCTGTGGTTAACTGAAGATGAAGAGTTTATGAGTCGGGCACTGGTGGCTCATGCCTGTAATCCTAGCTACTCCGGAGGGTGAGATCTGAGGTTGATGGTTCAAAACCAGTCCGGGCAGGAAGGTCCGTGAGACTCCAATGAACCACCAGAAAACCGGAAGTGGTGCTGTGGCTCAAGCAGGAGAGCCTATGCCTTGAGCTGAAGAGCTGAGGGACAGCTCCCAGGCCCAGAGTTCAAGCCCCATGCCCGACCGAGGGAAATAAAAAGTGCTTTATGAACTCTGTGCCCCAGACTGGCTTCAAATATGTCTATCAACTCCTAAGTAACTGGGATTACAAATGTGACCAATACCTAGCCCAAAGAATCTTTATACGAGGTAATTTCTGACTATGGACTATTTGTTTTCCCCAATAATCTTTAAAAATGCTTTGAAACTGTTGAATTCCCCATTTTCCCCTTCCCACTGGCAAAGGGTAAGAAACTTCTTGTCTGGAAACTTGTCTAGAAACTCCTGTCCGGATGAGGGGACATGCCTTTCCTGTCAGGCTGCACCTCTGACCCTTCCCAGGGTGGGGATGGACTGTCCCTGTACCTGCAGGGACACACCTCATCCTGAGTCTGACCCCTCACCCGCATGGCTGGCTGCACCACTGGGACAGGGTCACAGGTTTGGAGTCTTCCGGGGATAAACCCACTGTCTGCCTGCAGGTAAGTCCTATCGCTGACCATCATTTCCAATGATGAGTCTATCCCGCAGGCAATGGCCCACTGAGCGAGCGCGGTAATTCCTGTCTTAATTGCTAGCTTCCTGAGGCCGGGGCTGATTTTGGACTGTGTGTGCACTGTGATCCACAGGGCTGCCCCCAGGAACACCGACAGGGGCCCTTGTCAAGGGCAAAAGTGCTCCTGACTCTCCCTCTCACAGGATCTCACTGAAACTGAGTACAGGAACACAATACAGTGCTATTTGAGACAAAAGCCCAGGGCCTACTCAGGTGACTTTGGGGACAAGAACTAAGAGGCTGAACAAGAGTGTGTGGTGGACTCTCCCTGACTTCTCATGATGGCTTTGACTGGTTGTTAGAGAGGCCTTCTAGAAGCTTCCAGAACAATCTTCAACTACCCCCCCCCCCCCCCATGACTGCCTTGTGCTTTTCCACAGACAGTTGCTCAGAGCTCTTCTAACCTCCACCCCTATCCTGGTCCTGGCTCCCGTCGGGCCCTGCATTAGCCTCAACTCTCCCTTGATACATCTGATACCTTTGGTACCTCTGGGCCTTTGCTTAGGTGAAGCCAACCTAAGCATAAACCCTGCAGGCTGAGTGCCATCCCTGGGGTCTGCTGCCTTCCTGTCCAAACACTTGGAGCTACAACTCTAGCCAGGGAGATTTTTTAGTGCAGTGATTATTATCCAAACCCAAGGACTGGCTCTGAAGAAGGAGAGATAGAGGAACACAGACTCAGCTTCCAGCTGAGACGAAAAGATGCCCTCAGCCGGGCGCCGGCGGCTCACGCCTGTAATCCTAGCTTCTCAGGAGGCTGAGATCTGAGGATCCACGTTCAAAAGCCAGCCCCGGCAGGAAAGTCTGTGAGAATCTTATCTCCACTTAGCCACCAGAAAACTAGTAGTGGCGCTGTGGCTCAAGTGGTAGAGCGTTTGTCTTGAGCTGAAGAGCTCAGAGACAGCGCCCAGGCAGAGTTCAAGCCAAAACAAAAACCAAAAAAAGATGCCCTCTCCCCTTTGTCCCATCATGGAGACAAGAGATAAGGAAATGCATTAGAGCAGTGGTTGAAATACCCATTTTTCCTCTTTTCCCGTTGGCTCCTTTTTCACCTCTGGGGCCCTCAGCACCAGGCGGTCCATCCGATCCATTGTGTCCCGGCAGCCCATCTACTCCTGGAGGGCCTGTGCAAATAGGAGAACCGAACAGTTACAAATTTTTATCTTGGGGCTGGGAAGGTGGCTCGGTGGTAGAGCGCTTGCCTTGTATGCATGAGAATCTGGGTTCAGTTCCTCAGCACCACATAAGCAGAAAAAGCTGGAAGTGGCGCTGGTAGGGCGCTAGCCTTGAGCTGAAGAGCTGAAGGATAGCGTGGCCAGGCCCAGAGTTCAAGCCCCATGACCAAACAAAAAAAAAATCTTAAAAAAAGTTTTTAAGGGGCTGGGAATGTAGCTTAGTGGTAGAGTGCTTACCTAGCATGCATGAAGCCCTGGGTTCGATTCTTCAGTACCACATAAACAGAAGAGAGCCAGAACTGGCACTGTGACTCAAATGGTAGAGTGCTAGCCTTGAGCAGAGAGAGGCTCCAAGACAGTACCCAGACCCTGAGTTCAAGCTCTAGGACTGGCAAAAAAAGTTTTTTTAATCTTGGCTAGGCACAGTGGCACATGCCTACAAGCTCTGTTTGGTGGGAGGTAGAGATAGGAGGATCATTCCTATGGTGGGGGAGAGTTAGTGAAGCCTCATTTCAATAAACAAGCCAGGTATCATTATTCTGTATGTTATTCTATCCTTCTGCATTCTAAAGAGGCTGAAATAGGAAGGTTGTTATCTGAGGCCAGCCCTAGGCAAATCACAAAAGAGTCCATCTGAAAAACACCTACAACTGAAAAGGGCTGAGGGTGTTGTTCGGGTAGAACACCTGCCTACAAACACAGTACCATCGCCCCAAAGAAAAAGTCACTTAAGTTGATGAGAATTCTTTTAGCCAGTGAGCAGACAGGGCTGATGCCTTCCCGTATGACCTCCTGCTTTTCCATCCTCCCAAAGAAGTGACGAGAAGCAGGCACACAAAGCGACAGGCGAAAGGAACATGGAGAGACAGGCACAGGGAAGCAACCAAGTAGCCTCTACAGTCTTCCCCCACTTCTGTCCCCAGAAGGACCCTGGGGATCTGGCCACCCACACCCTGCCCTTGAATCAGGAAAGTCTAGTGCTCTTACCTGGTGGGCCAGGTGGTCCTAAAACAGAAAAAGAAATCCAGATGGTAATTCACAAGTGGAGGGAAGAAAAACCCATATTCTCCCGCCCGCTTAAATGTCTCAGTTACCTGCCGACCCGAAGAAACCAATCCCGTATCTTTTATATTTTCCCCCAAGACACTTTAGAAAACCCAGTGGAGACTCATACACCGATCAAGCCATTTTTGCTTGTTTTAATGGACCAAGAATAACTTCTGTGCTGGTCTCTCTGTTGATTCTTATACTAGTTATCTCTGAAGCAGTCAGCTCAATTAACCGAGGGTCAGTGGCATGAAGATGGCCCGTGCGCGCAGCCCAGGCAAAAGCAGGTGTCAGTACATGGCGGTGCTGTCACCCTGGAACATGAGAACAGTTCCCAGGGCTTTTACCCAGCCAGCTTGTCTCCTCTGGGCTGGCTTACCAGAGCTTTTATTACATGAACTAGCCTGATGAAACTTGAGGAGTAAAATCACCCAAATGCCTAAGCAGGTTGGATAAATCATTTCTACAGAGTTGTCTTTTTTTTTTTTGGTTTGTTTTTTGCCAGTCCTGGGTTTGAACTCAGGGTGTGGACGCTGTTCCTGAGCTCTTTTGCTCAAGGCTAGCACTCTACCTCAGCACACTTCTGTTTTTTCTGAGTGGTTAATTGAAGATAAGAGCCTCCCTGGGACTTTGCTGCCAGGGCTGGCTTTGAGCCGCAATCCTCAGATCTCAGTTTCCTGAGAAGCTGATTATAGGCGTGAGCCACATGCATGAGGCTGACTTGTCTTATGTTCGCTGGTCTCTTTGAGCACTGAGCAGCAAAGGTCCAGAGGGTTGGAGATTCAGGAGATTCAGGGTGGGAGAAAGGCGGAAGCGTGGCCAGGATGGTTTGGGTAGAGATGAGATTGAATCAGATCGTGGGTGGAATGGGCAATAAAAACACCTGACTGCCAAGTCAAGAGGTGTAAACTGTCTCTGCGAAGTGATAGAGGATGACTGTAGGCTCCTAAAGATCAATGTGACTTTGAGCTCTTGTTTTTATCTAGAAGATGAATAGAAAGGTGAAAGTAACAGACATAGAGAGATAGCAGGAGGGACAAGGAGGGAGAGATGGGGGATTATTGTAGAAAAAAAAAAACCACCAAGATTTTTGTAGTTAAAACCAGGCTCATAGCTGGGCACTGCTAGCTCAGGTCTAATCCTAGTTACTCAGGAGGCTAAGATCTGAGGATCAAGGTACAAAGCTAGCCTGGGCAGGAAAGTCCATGAGACTCTTTATCTTCAATTAACCCCCAGAAAACCATAAGTGGTGCTGTGGCTCGAAGTCAGAGAGCACTAGCTTTGAGCAAAAAGAGCTCAGAGAACAGCTCCCCAGGCCCTCAATTCAAGGCACACAACCTACAAAAACAAAAGCAAAAACAAACACACAAAAAACCCTAAACCCAACATGGCTGGGAAGGTGGCTTAGTGGTAGAGTGCTTGCCTAGCATGCATGAAGCCCTGGGTTCGATTCCATATAAACAGAAAAGGCCAAAGTGGCGCTGTGGCTCAAGTGGTACAGTACTAGTCTTGAGCAAAAGAAGCTCAGGGACAGTGCCCAGGCCTTGAGTTCAAGCCCCAGGACTTGGAGGGGAAAACAAACAAACCAGGCATCTGATTGCGGATAAATGTATGTCTAGCATTCTCTGCAACTGTAGAGAAAGCTAGAAACATACCAAGTACTTCCCATGGAATGAGCAAGACTTCACAACCAACTAGAAGGAAATCTCTCAGATAGACAGGGGATATGGAATACTGATACAGAGTCTGCAGATGCAGCGGCTCTTAGGAGAATAAGGGATTACGGGAAATGTTCAATACATACAGGCCCAAAACTATTTGATGTTGCAAATTAGGTTAGCCTATGGCTCAGTCCCCGGCTTGACCACCAGAGGGCACGGGCATACTAGAAGAGGTGCTGCGGACAGTTACAGAGGTCAGCAGACATCTCTCAGAGTCTTCACTACGAATGGCGCCACAAAAGAGCCACATGGAGATAAGGATGATTTGTCTGTAAGAAGCAAGCTGGTTGTGTACAGTGGGTTTCGAGACACCCCCACTCCCCAGAACTGTGTTCATGGTGGGACTTCCAGCTTAGCAGGAGCTGTATAATGCAGGACACATTAGCCCTGGCCAAGGTCTCCTGACACTGTTGCTTTTTTCCCCCCTCCTAGTTTCCTTTTATTTTGAGACAGGAACTCACTATGCAGCCCAGGCTGGCTTTGAACTTGCCATCTTCCTGCCTCAGCTTCTGGAGTGCTGGGATCACAGGCACGTGATCCCTAGCATGAAGTGTTCATTAGGGTTCCTTGAAGTTCCTGATACCCCTGCTACAGTAATCGTTGGATGAGTTCACACAATCACCTGCCGTACTCGTGAAAACAAAGAGACCAGGTGTCCTCTCTGGAGATTCTAGTTCATTCTGGATTTATAGAATGAAATGGCAGCAGCCTGACTCCTGAGTTACCATAGGAAGCCAGAATTTCTTGGGAGAGTCACACGAATGTCACTTAGTGAAATGAGACTGGGTTAAGCCACTGAGTTGGTTGGTTTTTTTTTTTTTTTAACTTTGTACTTAAGCTTAAACTCAAGGCCTGGGTGCTGTCCCTTAGTTTGTTTGGTTTTTTTTGCTCAAGGCTAGTACTCGACTACTTGTATTCTACTGCTAGCTTTTCTGGCGGTTAACTGAAAAGAAAAGTATCGCAGACTTTTTTGCCCAGACTGACTTTGAACCACAATCCTCAGATCTCAGCCTCCTGAGTAGCTGGGATTACAGGCGTGAGCCACCAGCACCTGACTTCTTTCTGCCTGGCATTCTTTGGGCTCTGTGGATCAAGGCTCTCCGCCTACTTCTGAAATTGCTCAATTCAGTCCTGGGTCCTGTCCCTTACTCTCTGGCCCTTGTCCCTAATCCAGGAGATAGGGGCTATCCCAAAGAGTTCAGCAACTTAACAGTTCACGTTTCCAGGAGAATCTTCTGGACTCACTTTGCAACTTGTACTGTTCACAAGTAAGTTTTTAATTGAAGAGCTTTCCGTGTTAAAAAAAAAAAAAAGAAGAAGAAGAAGAAGCCTAATTTCAAACTGGCATGAAAAAAAGAAATGTTAGCTTTTGAAAAGCATTTTGAAGAGCCAGACAATCACCCATTCTCAAGCCATTTCCTCCGTGGATGCAATCTCCACTGGCAGTCCTCCTAAGAGGCTCCCTCCTAAGAGGCCTCAATAGCTCTGTCCTGCGCTCCATTGTGTGGCCTGGCTCTCGGGAAGTGTCACTGTAACAATCAGGAGGGAAGAGGCTTTTCCTGGGCCTCTCAACAGGGCTTTTGTACCTGTCATTCCATCCATCTGAGTATTTCTGTAGCACTCATTACTATCTCTCACGGGAGCTTGGCAAAGGGACCTTCGCTGATGGATGGGAGACTCTCGAGCCTGGAGAGCTTCAGAACAAAGGACCAGGCTGCCCCAGGATATTCAATTTTCAGGAAGGGCTGAAATGTGGCTGGAGTAATTCAATTAGCATCTCCCCCAAGCCGTGGACTTACTGTCCTTCTCTCTGTGGCTAAAATAAGTGAGAGTCAGCCTAGAATTTGGGGTTTTGTTCACTCATTCATGCGAATCCAAAGTATAGTGTATTAACATATGCCCATCCACTCTTTTTTGTTTTTTTTTTTTAGTTGGTCATGGGTCTTGAACTCTTCCACTGAACCAACTTCCCTGGGACCCCAAGATCCTCTTATCTCCAATTAGCCAGCAGAAAGGTGGACGTAGAGGTGTGGCTCGAGTAATAGAATGCTAGCCTTGAGCGGAAGTGCCAGGCCGTGAATTCAAGCCCCAGAACCAGCATAAAGCAAAACTAAAACACAATAGAGGGGCTCTATAGAATGTGGCTGAGTGGTAGAGTGCTTGCTTAGCATGCATAAAGTTCCACGTTCAATTCCTCAGTACCACATAAACAGAAAAAGCCGGAAGTGGTGCTATGGTTCAAGTGGTAAAGTGCTAGCCTACAGCAAAAGAAGCTCAGGGACAGTGCCCAGGCCCTGAGTTCAAGTTCCAGGACTGGCAAAAATAAAAATAACTATTAAAAAAAAGTAATAAAATTCAAGGGAGTTGTGCTTCTGCTTCACCATGTACTATTTTAATGTAGATCTATTTTCCCCATTTCCTTAAGGTGTCTAGAGTCAGGTCTGGAGGCCTCACACTCAAACCCACACCCATTTTCAGTGTTCTTAGGTGTTTATTCATGTTGGCGGTGTGGATGCTGGCAGCCAGTGGCCATCCTACCTGTCAGACAGATGCCTTTCGTGCTGTTGCAGAGGTCCACCATCACCCGGATCTACAGGGAGACAGCAAACAGTAAGCAAGGAGTCCTGACCTTCACTTCTGTGCAGACAAGCAGAACGCAACCAGAAAACCTAACCAGGCAATAGGAAACAGCCTGATAGAAATCATCCAAACGAAACAAAAACCTGGACAAGATCTAAGGCTGTTTTGTATAAATGCTCATCTCTACCAACACACTCACTCTGATTTCTCCCAGCTTTTGAGAAGATGAAGGATTGTGAGAGAGTTAAATCCACACCTCTCCAGTGTAATGAGTTGACCTCCTAGAGCCCAACAGGCTCTGTGGTCACAAGCAAGTACTTACTGGTGAGCACGGCAGAGACATTTAACATCTTGACACCCTCCTTCCCTTTTCAAAAACCTCCCTTGAGGGGTAAGCCCTCCCTGCCCAGCCTCTTGCATAGCTAGATTACAGGCATGAGCCACCAGCATGCAGCCAGACTTTGTTCTTATTATTTCTACATATTCCAGTTCAACAACCATATACACAGTGCTTACACCTTATTAGGTATTGTAAGAAATCCAGAGAGACTTTAAAGTATGTTGTCAGATATGCATGGGTTTTATAAAAAGGTTCTAGAAATCTCTCTCTGTGGCTACTAAGGGATGACAACTATTATCCTAGCATAAGATTGAGAGATGTACTAATATGTTGGAAGCATCTTAGATACCCCTTTTCCATCCTAACAGCAATCTGAGCTGAAGTACTGACTGGATAGTACAATTCTGCCCAGGTAAGAAAACAGAGAATGTAAGCCAAATGCTGGTGGCTCACATGTGTATTCCTGAGATCTGAGGACTGTGGTTTGAAGCCAGCCAGGGTAGAAAAGTCTGTGGGAATCCTGACTTCAGTTAGCCACCAAAAAGCAAGAAGTGGAGCTGTGTCTCAAGTAGTAAAGCTGTGGCCTTGAGAACAAAAAAAAGAAAAGATAAGGAAGAGCACCCAGGCTCTGAGTTCAAGCCCTAGTACTGGGAGGGGCTGGGATGGGTTAGGAGCAATGGGTGACAATGTTGTCAGACACCTCGTATTCATATACTGTTTTGTAGGATGGGAACTTCTTTGTACAACTACTTAAAGATAATAAGAATAATAAAATGTTTTTTGTTTTGTTTTTTTTTTTTAAAAGGAGGGGCTGGGAAGGTGGCTCGGAGGTAGAGTGCTTGCCTTGCATGCATGAGGCCCTGGGTTTGATTCCTCAGCACCACATACAAAGAAAAAGTTGGAAGTGGCGCTGTGGCTCAAGTGGTAGAGTGCTAGCCTTGAGCTGAAGAGCTGAGGGACAGCGCCCAGGCCCAGAGTTCAGGTCCCACGACTGACAAATAAATAAATGAACAAAAAGGAAAAAAGACAAAGAAATAGAGAATATAGTGTTAGTGAGTATATACAACTTGCTCTCCAAGGAGCTCAGCTCAGGAATCCTGATTCCCAAGTTCCAGTTTCTTCTCTATTGCTACTCTGGTGATTATTTTAACCAGGCAGTGAAACATTTTTTTTTTTTTTGATTCACTGCTTTTGTAGTCATTTTCATAAATGAATGTAATCAGCCGCACTACTGGACAAAATTTATTATCTTAACAAGTATGTAATTGCTCATTGAGAGGCGCAGAAAAGAGTGCACAATGACTCATTGGTTGCCTGGGGACCCCAGCAGAAGGGGCCTTTCTAACAATAGAAGCATCAATAGGGAAAATTAGCCTTTCTTTTTGCTACTCATCACCAGACTAGGACAGGCTTGGCTAGAAACCACAGGGAAGGAATTTCATTTCCTGAATCTCTGGATTATTGACATGCTAAGTGTCAACATAGGCATTCTCCAGTAAATTACTGCTATCTTCATTTTGGAATATTCTTTTAAACAAATTTTAGGCTATATAAGATTGTATTGAAGTTAAATGTACAGTATGAAATTGTGTGCAGTAGGTAAGACCAGAAACTTTTCTTTTTTTTTGTTGGTCCTAGCGGGCTTGAACTCTGGGCCTGGGCACTGTACCTGCGCTCTTCAGCTCAAGACGAGCACTCTACCACTTGAGCTATAGCACCACTTCTGGTTCTCTGGTGGTTAACTGGAGATAAAGAATCTTACAGACTTTCTTGTCCAGGCTGGCTTTGAACTGCGATCCTTAGATTTTAGCCTCCTGAGTAGCTAGGATTACAGGTGTGAGCCACCAGTGCCTGGTTCAGAAACTTTTCTTTCCTGATCGTGTGTGTGTGTGTGTGTGTGTGTGTGTGTGTGTGTGTGTGTGTGTGTGTGTGCGCGCGCGCGGCGCGCACCAGTATTTGGATTTGAACTCAGTGTTTGAGCACTATCCTTTAGCTTTTTTGTGCAAGGATAGCACTCTACTACTTCAGCCACACCTTTACTTCCAGCTTCTTGGTGGCTAATTGGACATTTCATGGACTTTCCTGCCCAGGGCTGGCTTCGAACCACAATCCTCAGATCTCAGTGGGTAGACAACCTTTATGGTAGTCCCAAAAGAGGTCAGGTACCCTGGGTCTATCCCTGGAAAGGTGGGAATTTTTGCACAATGGCCAAGACCTGGTGAAAGCAATCTACCAAGTTCAATAAGAATGTGGAACTGTGCCCTGTTTTATTTCTTTTTTTTGGGTCCAGTCGTGGGGCCTGAACTCTGGGCCTGGGTGCTGTCCCTCAGCTCTTCAGCTCAAGGCGAGCGCTCTACCACTTGAGCCACAGCACCACTTCCGGCTTTTTTTTCTTTTTGCTTATGTGGTGCTGAGGAATCGAACCCAGGGCCCCATGCATGCAAGGCAAGCGCTCTACCACTGAGCCACCTTCCCAGCCCACAAAGGAAATTTTTTAAAAATTAAAAAGACCAGGTACCAGTGGCTCACACCTGTAATTCCAGCTACTCAGGAGGCTGAGATCTGAGGAACGCAGTTCAAAGCCAGCCTGGGCAGGAAAGTCTGTGAGACTCCTATCTTCAATTAACCACCAGAAAACGGGAAGTGGCGCTGTGGCTCTTGTGCTGAAGAGCTGAGGGACAGTGCCCAGGCCCAGAGTTCAAGCCCTACAACCACTCCCACCCCCCCCAAAAACAATTAAAGAAAAAGAAGAGTAGAGAAACGAGGAGAACAGTTTCAGGTCAGCCCTGCCTGGGAAAAGTTAGTGCAAAACTCTACTTTACACACTAAAAGTGAAAGGAACAGGGGTGTGAAGTGCTAGCATGCTGCCCATAAGCACCGGCAGGGGTGCTGCACGCAGAGGCAGTAGGAATTAAGAAGACAAGTCTAAAGTAGCTTGCAAGATCTGCATGGCGATACCTCTGGAAAAAAGAAAAAAATCTTTTGGCCAGGACAAAGCCTTTGGAAAACACTCTGGGGACACTGATTAATCCTGGAGGCAGGCAAAAGTGCATAGCTAAAGTTCCTGAAGGACCTTTGCTTCCCTTTCAGGATCTGACCTCAAGTCAGGGTAAATCTGGCACATCTGGTTGTTTCTTTCTTTCTTTTTTTTTTTTTTTTAATTGTGAAAATACTGTACAGAGGGGTTACAATTACATGGGCAAGATAATGAGTACATTTCTTATCAAGCATTGCAGCCTCCTCCTTTGTTTCCCCTTCCCGTCCCTTCCCATCCTCCCCGCCCCCCCCCCCCCCCAAAATCTGGTTGTTTCTTGTGAACTGCAACAGCCCCCTGACTAATTAGGAAACACAAGATAAAGGATAATACATACCAGTTTGTATGTTTCAAAAAACAATGAAACCTTCGGAAAGTGTTTTAAGAAGAGATGAGGGCGTCAGGGAGAGTGGTGGGGTGTGAGATTGACTGGAATATATTTGTACTCATGTGGAAATGCTCGAGTGACACCTCACCTCCTGTACAACTAACATATGCTAATAAAAAAGTTTAAACATGGCTGGGTGCCCGTGGCTCATGTCTATAATCCTAGCTACTGAGGAGGCCACAATCTGAGGATCATGGTTCAAAGCCAGCCTGGGCAGGAAAGTCTGTGAGGCTCTTGTTTCCAATTAACCACCAGAAAACCGGAAGTGGTATTGTGGTTCAAAGTAGTAGAGTGCTAGCCTTGTGGTGAGGAGCTCAGAGACAGTGCCCAGGCCCGGAATTCAAGCCCCACAACTGACAACAACAACATTTAAAAATGCTAGTTACTGTGCAGTAAATTGCCTATTTGCAAATCCTGTCATTTCAGAATTTATTCTGCCCAATTGCTTCTTTTTAAATCTGCTTTTTTTTTTTTTTTTTTGGTCAGTTGTGGGGCTTGAACTCTGGGCTTGGGCGCTGTCCCTGCGCTCTTCAGCTCAAGGCCAGTGCTCTACCACTTGAGCCATAGTGCCACTTCCAGTTTTCTAGTGGTTTATTGGAGATAAGAGTCTCATGGACTTTCCTGCCTGAGCTGGCTTTGAACTGCGATCCTCAGCTCTCAGCCTCCTGAAGTAGCTAGGATTACAGGCGTGAGCCACCGATGCCCAGCTCTCTACATATTTTTAACATATATAAATGGAATAGGACAGCTATGAGATTAAATTATACTAGCTATGAGAAAATATAGGTGAATATTCAATCTTGAGAAAGACGAGAACGTGCTAAATATAAAAACAAAAGTGAAACCCGTCATTATAACATTTGACTATATGAGCATGAACCAATTCAACCACTATCTCACCAAAAGACCTATGAAGTTAGAAGGAGATATCACCCTGGCCAAAATGCAAAATTAAAAAAAAACCCTATCCTTAGTCATACATATTTGCCTGAGTTCCAGATTCTTCACTCAGTGGCTGTGTGACCCTGCACAGGATGCTTAACCTCTCTAAGCTCCAGGGATCTGTGTACAAATGGGAATAATAATGACTACCTCGCAGAGCTGTTGGTAAGATCTTCCTGAAGTACATACTGAAATTGCCTAGTGTAACACCTGCCACATTGCATAACTGCTCTAAAGATTTTTATTAGCCTCTGTTAGTTGTACAATGAGAAGGCTTCAATGCAACATGTACCTGCATACAATGCATTCCAACCAATCTCACCCTTACATCTTTCTCCCTTATCCTCTTTTTCCTTCTTTCCTAGCTGCTGTGAAGAGACAATAAGAACACAGAGACTGGGAGAAAGACAGATGACAAAAGCAGTGTGTCATATAGGAGTTGGAAGTACATGGGTAGAATTTTCTCTCTTTCCACTCACGGGTCCCCAAATCCCTGTTTCCCTTTCTGATCTAGCTTAGTGCTTCACAAACTCAGGGCCTCATGTTCTTGCTTGGCTTTTTCACTCAGATTAGCACTCCTCACTTGAGCCACAGATCCACTTGCAGCTTTTTTACTGGTTAAAGAGTCTCATAGACTTTCCTGCCTGAGCTGGCTTCAAACCACAATCCTCATATGTCAGCCCCCGAGGAGCTAGGATTACAAGTATGAGCCACCAGAGCCAGGCTCCACTAGAACATTTTCATTGGAACATAGTTTTCCATTACTCATTCCTAGTACTTCAGTTTATATGTGTGTCCTAGGCAGGGATTCCCAAATTCCCAGCACTCTGGCAAGCACAAGAAACATTTTCTTAGTGATAGATGAAGGGGTAACTCTGTCAACTGCATTCAGAACAAACCCTTCAAATTGCATTTGAACGATCTGTAGTTAGCCTCTTTAAAACTAGAAGCAAATTATGTCTATTTCAAACACACAGCAGTTAAAAAGCTACTGATACAAAGCAACTGATGGGCTGAAAAATGCTCCTTTTGTAGCTGAATCACAACCTCAAAGCTCGAGTTTCATACAAATGACCTTTAGTCTGTACATAAAATGCATGTAAATTAAGCTTGAATGTCAGCTAGCTTTGGCAATGGAGTTTAGGTAGTGTTTTTTTGTTGCTACTGGGCTTTTGGTTTTTTTTTTTAGTGGTGAAGAGGGAGTTAGAGGAATGTAGACAATAAAAAGAAGTCTTTAAAAATCATGTAAGTATGGCTGTGTGTGTGTGTGTGTGTGTGTGTGTGTGTGTGTGTGTGTGTGTGTGTGTGTACCAGTACTAGGATTTCTAGGATTTGAACTCAAGGTCTCACACTCTCCCTTTTTTTTCCACTCAGGACTGGCAGAGCCTATTCAGCTAGTGGGAATGCACAAATGTTCCCCAGTCAGGCAATGGTGATGTTGCTGCTCTTTGGTCAGTGCCAGCTGCTGGTGACTCTGCTAGGTGACCTAGAGTTAAATCTAGCTTCCAGAGGAGTGTCTCCATTCTCTGGTGTTTGTGGCTGCAATTTGAACACAAAAGCCTCCACCTTAAAAGCAGGATTAAAAATATAAAATGTTGATCCAGGCCAGATGGATTTCTGTTTGAGCATTTCAAACACCCCTACGAATGCAGGGTGACTTACCAAGAGAGAGAGCAAGCACACTCCTCTAATGAGTTTTCTCCATGTTTATGGGGGTCTTGCTTTCAACCTTTTTCTTGGGCTTAGATTTTGAAATGATAGTATGAGTTAAAAAAAAAAATGAAGCCAGGAATGGAAAGCTTGAACTTTCTCAAAGTATGCAGTTCTTGATTGTACTTTAAAAGCATTCTACTTCACAGGAGACATTTAAAAGCCTCTAGGATAACAGATGCTCTAAGTAGACTTGTTTTCTTCAGATAACTAGGCTTCCACAGTGTGGGATCAGAGGACTTGAAATGACAACTGTGTTTTTCATATTGTGAAGTGAAACAAGACCAGGGCAGCAGTGGGGGAGGGGACGAGAGAAACCGCAACGGGACCCACGTGTATACATTTTTGGAAGAATTGTGAATTAAAGTCAGCATTTTAAAGAACTTAAAGTCAGCTTTCGCTGACTTTAATTCACAGGAGGATAAGATCTGCAGATCTCCATTTGTACCCAGACTGGGCAGAAAAATCCAGGAGATTCCACCTCCAGTTAGCCAGCAAAATGCTGCAGTAGACATGTGGCTCAAGTACAGTACCATCCAATAGGGGAAAAGCCCAACCAGAACTCCAGACCCTACTACCAGGGCACATAGTCCAGGGCACACGTGCACGTGCGTGTGCGTGCGCGCACACACACACACACACACACACACCCCAGTTAGCAAAAACAAACTGAAAACAAAAAACAAAAGACAAAGACTTGGAGGCAGGGGAGGACTGAAAGGTCCTGGAGACCCATCTCCAAAATAATCAGCAAAAAGGTAGGCTGAAGGCATTTGGGCTTTTTTTGTTGCTGATATTATTGTTTTGTCAGTCGTGGGGCCTGAACTCTGGGCCTAGAGGCTGTCCTTCAGCTCAAGGCGAGTGCTCTACCACTTGAACCACAGCGCCACTTCCGGCTTTTTCTGCTTATGTGGTGCAGAGGAATCGAACCCAGGGCCTCATGCATGCAAGGCAAGCACTCTACCACTGAGCCACCTTCCCAGCCCGGCATTTGGGCTTTTGTTGCATGGTTTTGTTTTTAATTGGCTAGTATTGCCCTCTCCCATTTGGAACAACCTAAGTCCCATGGACATCTTTCCCAGCAGCCATGTCTCAGGTGGGCTGTAAAGTTAAGGCAGGTTGTTCTTAAACTGGGACAATTAGGTCACCTGTTTCATGGGGATAAATTCGGGTCAGGCCTGGTGAAAAGTCATCTGGTCACTAGATTGATTCAGGGAAAGAATCGCTCTATTGAAAAGCTGGTACTCTTTCAGAAACGTTGCCTCCATCTTTCCAGAAGCCTCCACCCCCAAACCCCTCCCTGGCCCCAGGTAGAACCAAGAGACTTTCGTGGCCCAGTTCCCAACCAAAGGAGAAAACATTTGCTTGAAGTTGGGAAGCAAGTATGGTCTTCAAACACTGTTCATACCGGGCGCTGGTGGCTCAGGCCTGTAATCCTAGCTACTCAGAGGAGGCTGAGATCTGAGGATCGCGGTTCAAAGCCACCAGGCAGGAAAGTCCGTGAGACTCTTATCTCTGATTTACCACCAGGAAATTGGGAGTGGTGCTGCGGCTCAAGTGCTAGTGCGTTCCCCTTGAGCTGAAGAGCTGAGGGACAGCGCCCAGGCCCAGAGTTCAAGCCCCATGACCGACCAAACAAAACAAAGAACAAAAAAACACTGTCCACACCCCTCATTTACTCCCCCCCCCCACACCTCGCCCCACTACAGACCAGACACTGACCCCAAAGGGTCACCACCGACCTCACGGCCCACTCACAACAAGGCCCTTTGGGGAGACCCTGGCGGGGGGGGGGGGGGCCTCGGGCAGCCGCGCCCCCGCCTACCGGCACCATGGAGTAGGTCATCATCATCAGCATGTCCTGGCTCTCCCCGCGGACGTGCGGCGGCGGCGGCGGCGGCGCGGGCTCCCCGCCGTGGCTGCGCTTGTTGCGCGCTGCGATCGCGGGGTCCGGGGGCGGCGGCGCGGGGGGCCCGCGGGGGGCCCGGCTCAGCTCGGCCAGGAAGGCGCGGAGGGCGCCGGCCTCGCGCTGCTCCCGGCCTCGCTGCGCCTCCAGCGCCCGCAGCGCCGCGCTCAGCCCGCGCCACTGGCACAGGGCGAACACGGTGCCCGCGGCGTTGAGCGCCGACAGCAGCGCCACCGCCGCCAGGGCGCCGCGCAGTCCCCAGCCCGCGGCCCTGCGGCCTCGCTCGGCGCCGGGGGCCATGTCTAGGGCTCCGGGCGGCCCGGGCCCCGTGGTCTTTATAGGTCTGGGCAAGCCGTGGGCTGCGGGCAGCGCCGAGTCACGCCGCCCTGCGGTCGGGCTGGCGCAGGGGGTTGGGGACGGTGGCGGTGGCGCCCGGGCTGCCCGGAGGGACCGCGGGCGCGAGGGGGTGAGACGCAACGCGGAGACGGCCCGCGGAGGAGGGGCGCGCCTCGGCTCCCAGACCCGAGCAAAGCGGCAAGCCGGCCTCTCCCACTCGTCCCGTCCTGCCCGTGGGCACTGCCGTGGCCCAGACAGGCAGACGAGCGACAGACAGAGGGGGAGGCCAGGAATTCTGACGGCCCGGCCCGGCAAGTGTCCAGATTCCATGCCCTTCCCCGCCGCCCCCCACACCGCCTTCTTTTGGAGAAAACGACCCGTGTGCTCAGATCGCAAAGCGCGGGGTCCACGGTTTCCGTGTGAGGTCTCCTGGAGATCCTCAGAGCTTTTCCAGGATGGGGGTGCGCACTAGAGGTTAAAGAGGACCTCCCCCCCCCCCCCCCGCCCCAAGAGCCCAGACTGCTTGGCCAGCAGCTGTCTGTCATCCCTAAAGGGGGCTTCCGAGAACTCTCCCTGAGACCCGTACCCCGGGGACAGCAGTGCCCAGTGGGAAACCGAGGAATCAGGAGAGCTGGTGCTAAAGCCACTCGGCCTCTACTGCCACCAGGGAGTTTGGGAACGTGTCCTGTGATCATTCGGCGGTTCCTTCTGGCTGGAGGGCTGCACGGCCTGGCCAGCCACCCCCTGCCATCTTCCCATGCCTCCCGTCACCATGTGACAAAACCCGTTATCTCCTGTGGCTAACTGGCAAATAAGCGTCTCATGGACATTCCTTTCCTGGCTGGCTTCAAACTACAAGCCTCCAATCTCAGCCTCCTGAGTAGCTAGGATTACAGGACTAAACCTTTATCCCCACACTCCTCAACGCTACTGTGAACCCTGCCCATGATACTCACCCTCAACAAATGTGCCTTGGGACTCGGGACTCAGGACTGAGAACACTTGTGGTATGGATACCCCCAGAATATTACCCAGGGGTCAGGAGAGGGGCAGATGAAGAAAGCATTGTCTGGATTTCCTTCCCTATAAACTCTCTCTCAGATTCCAGCCCAGATCCTTCCAGGTAGGACTGACAAGAAGGATGGGCAAGATCATCTGTAAGAATGACGTCTTCACTTTCCCTAACCTCACAGTGTCTCTCTGTCCGTTTTCCCTTTCCCCTGTGACTACTGTCTATGACCTCCTTTGTACCAACACCGCACATTCACTTTCCTCCTTCACTGCCTAGCTCTGTGTGGCCTCCTTCTGTATCAGCCTCAAGGGGTCCCTCTCCCTGATCTCTCTGCAAGCCCCAGGAGTAGCTAGGATTACAGACATGATTCACTAACACCTGGCAAAACCAAACTTTTGTGCACACGGCACATGAGCAGGTATGTAGGGCTGCAGCTTGGGGGTTGGCTCTGTGGGACTCTCCAATCTCTGTATTTTCCTAAGCCTCTCTAGACTTGCTGAGATGCAGGTATGTCTGCAGAGTATGGTCTGCCTGGTACTCCTCAGGACAGGCTGGAACTTTCCACTTAATAAAAGTAAGCTATCCATCTGGCCTGCTTTGTTGACTTAGAAAGTTCAGAATCCAGTAGGGACACAGAAGTGTCTGATTTCCCTTGTCTGGAGACTAAAGAAACCAAGAACATTGAGTGCTGCCTTTACAATGAGCAGCAGTTTTTCCATTAAAAGGCAGATACTCTATTTCCTAAAATTAAATAGAATGGCCCCTACAAATGATTCTAGCTAGTTAACGTAAGGTTTTGGAGAGTGAAGTCCAATTCAAGAATATACACCAATTATAATTGCACAGCAGGTCTCTAAATTGTGAAATAATTTCCATTAAACTGGGCATTCTGATCTTCTGCAATGCGGGCAGATATGTTGTGATTCCTGATGGTAGTTTGTTGCCTGCTCATCCCAGCTCTCCTTCCTTTTTAGAGAAAGTCTCTCTAAAAGTTGAGTATATATCTTTCATTTGACCTCCTCTGACTTAGATCCAATTGCTGTTTTGTTTTGGCTGCTTGATTGAGTCTTACCATGTAACCCAGGCTGCCCTCAAATTCACCATCTTCCCTCCAGATGCTTATGTAACTAAACACAATAGGTTTACATTGTGGTGGGTACAAAGCCCAAACCTAAATGGCTAAACCATCAACAACTGGAGAACACATTTATCACCTTACCTGGGAGTTATTTCCAAAGCACTGTGTAGGAATTTTATCTGGGGCGTCTGTGCATAGTCATATGGGAAAGCACTTTAAGGGTGGGCACATTCCTGAGCATGTGCAGTTGAAGGCCGTTAATTTAAGAAGATGGTAGACACATTTTTGGGAATGCTTAACTCAAGGTCATAGAGCACAAGTCTACAAGATTAAAAGGGATATAAATGCCTTTAGGTTACAGGGAAGGTGTGGCTGTCCACAGGCGGGTATGACGTTGGGTCAGGTGGCTCTCTACTGCTGAAGCATGTCATAGCCTTAACCATGAAAGCAGATAGCAGTCTTCTCTTGAAAGAGAAGCTAGGATGCATTTCCACATCTATCACATGTTTTCTGATTACTGGGAGAGACAGATCTGCCAACTCTAACACCAGCAGACCAAGTCTGAACTCAGAGAGGAGGAGTTTGCTTTTTTTTTTTTTTTCTGTCTGGAGTTACAGCCTTTTAGGGAATAAAAACCTGATGATCTTCACAAACAACTGAAACAGGAATAGAAGTGCCTGGGGTGGGTTCTCTATCATCATGAGATTCACTCATGAACTGGAAACTGCTAAATCCACCGATGTAAGTTAATACTGTAAAGCCCTACTTACGAAACTTGAACCTCTGTTTTTGAAAAGGTAAAACAAAGACTTATATGGGTAGTGTACTTCAGTTTTCAAATGTCACTTGACTCCCAAAATAAGCCTGTAAAGTGAGAAGTGCAGGCATTTATTTATTTATTTATGTATTTATATTTTTAATGTGATGCTAGGGATCAAACCCAGAGCCTCGGACAGGCTTTACAATGAGAGAAGCAAGGGTTAATAACTCACATGTACAGCCCCAAGAGTGAGTCTTTTAACCTTTTCATAGAGGAAACCAAATCTCAGAATAGGTAATTGACTGTCGGATGTCATGGCTGACCTCAACCATGTAGGAACCTTCTTGGCCAGAAGCTGGGACCAATCAGGAATGTTTAAGACAATGGATAGGAAGTGAAAGAATAAGACAGGTAAAGAGTTCAAAATGGTGAACTAGAAAAACTCAAGAGTAGCACTTTCCTCCAAGACTAAAAAGCAGAACAGAGCAAACACTGAACACTAGAATATGTAAGACAAAGAACAGAGAAAACCAGGCCCTGGTGTAGCACAGTGCCACTTAGAATGCTGGTGGGAAAACAGTAGGTGAACTCTGGGGACCTAACCCCAAACTGAATGTGGTGGTAAATGCCTATAATCCTGGCTAACCAGACACTGGAAGATTAAGACTTCTGGCCAACTGGAAGAAAGTTAGTAAGACTATCTCAGAAGCAAAATGCAAAGGAAAGGGCTGTGGAGGTAATCTCATGTATTAGAACCTAGTAAGGGCAGTCACAAAATTGGTGTTAAAACACATGTGCATCTTGTGTGATTTGTTATCATAGTCACAGTGATTCTACACCTTGGTGAAGATATCCAAATACTCATTAGTTGTCCCAAAACAAGTTGAATACAGGTTTTTTCCAGATATAAAAACACTTGTTGCCAGGCGCCGGTTGCTCATGCCTATAAATCCTAGCTAGTCAGGAGTTTGAGATCTGAGGATCACAGTTCAAAGCCAGCTTGGGCAGGAAAGTCCAGGAGACTCTTATTTCCAATAAACCACTAGAAAACCAGAAGTGGCACTATGGCTCAAGCGGTAGAGCACTGGCCTAGAGCTGAAGAGCGCAGGAACAGTGCCCAAGACCAGAGTTCAAGCCCCACGACGGACAAAACAAAAAAATAAACACCTGTTATTCTATAAAATTGCTTTTGTTCACTTCTTGATTATAACGAAGTAGATGCATTACATTGATTTCTAAAGAACATATTATTTTGGTGGTACTAGAGTTTGAATTCAGGGCTTTATGCTAGCCAGGCAGATGTTCTACCACTTGAGCCTCATCTCTAGCCCTGTTTTTTTGCCAATCCTGGGGCTTGAACTCAAGGCCTGGGCACTGTCCCTGAATTTCTTTTGCTCAAGGCTAGCACTCTACCACTTGAGCCACAGCACCACTTCTGGCTTCCCCTAACCCCCATCTGGGACTTGAACTCTGAGCCTGAGTTCTGTCCCTGAGCTTCTTTGGCTCAAGGTTAGCACTCTACTACTTGAGCCAAAAGTGCCATTTCTGGCTTTTTCTGAGTAGTTTATTGGAGATAAGAGTCTCAAAGACTTTCCTGCCTGTGGTGGATTTGAACTTCAATCCTCATATCTCAGTCTCCTGAGTAGCTATCAGCACCTGGCTTTCTTTCTAGACCTGGTTGTGGTTTTTTTTTTGTTTTGTTTTGTTTTGTGCTGGTACTTGAACTCAGAACCTTGCATTTTTTTTTTTTCCTGAAGGCTGGTGCTCTACCAGCCACACCTCCCTTCTGGCTTTTTTCTTTTTTGCATAACTAGAGCTAAGAGGTTTCTTGAATTTGTCTGCCCTAGGCTGGTTTCAAACCAGGAGCTTCAGATCTCAGCCTCCTGAATAGCTAGGATTATAGGTGTGAGCCATTGTCATCCAGCTTAATTTTTTTCTTTTTGTTATGATGGATTTTGGGAACATTTAGTGTATATGGGCAGATTTTATCATCTATGGGCTTCATTTAAGCACAATAAAGGGAGAAACACAAATCATTTGTTCTAAGCAGTACTGGATTGGCGGGGTCCTCAGAGCCTCTATTCTAACTGAACCCTACTTGGGAGGAAGCACTC